TCCATTAATTTGCATACCTGTCTTTCTGCTGGTAGCGCGCCACCTGACCGGGGTGTCACTGAGAGCCCTGGTCCCATTCTAACGATCGGGACCTGGAACTCCCAATTCCGAGTCATCTGATCATTATGATACCCTCTGATTGGCTAACACAGTGATCAGTCACTGTGAAGCCCCCCCCCCCAAAATGTGCACTATTGTTTCTGGGCTGTACTACGGGTACAGTCAACAACTAATATACACACATGTGGTATTGCTGTGATCATCAGGAGCAAGAGAAATCATTTTGGCTTGCTCTTTGGTGGTAGGTTATGGTAGTAGAAAGAAATATATAGCTAAATTTAAAAAATATTGTGTTTGTTTTTTTTACTATTTTGGGCCAGTTTTCCTTTAGTAATAAAAAAAATTAATCAAGAGATATCCATTACCATTTACCACCAAATGAAAGCCCAATTTGTCCTGAAAAAAAAATAAGGTATAATACATCTACATGCACAAAGAAATTGTGATGATATGTACGGTTTTTGCTAACACATGTCAAAGTTGCAGAATCGTGCTTAGGCGGTAAGATTTGTTTTACACTTAGGCACGAAGGGGTTAATATTCTCTTTCTATCATTTAAAATACACCTATGATAAAAATTATAGAGCCTTAATTTCCTTGTAAGTGGGCAATATATATATTTATTTTTCCCAACTATGTTGGATACTCTAGATCAGGCCTTGAAACTTCTACTCGCTTGCTCGCCAATGGCGAGAGGAAATTATTGTGGGGGAGAGTGTGTCCCCCAGGGCCGTCTTGCTGAGCAGCAGGCTCAGAGCGCAGGCCAGATCTGTCATTGGCACTGGGAGCCTTCAGACTGCTCAATAGCAGAGCGGAGTGAAAGCACAGGAAGGACTGTGTGCTGTACTCTCTGCCTCCCCCTGGAGTGCAGTACCCGGCTCTGTGAGTGAACAACCAAGTACTGCAACTTTTTATAGGGGTGTGTGTGTGTGTACACGTGTGTTTGTGTGTGTCTGTGTATGCATGTACATGTGTGTAGGGCAGCAAAATGGCTAAGTGGTTAGCACTTCTGCCTGGCAGTACTAGGGTCGCTGGTTCAAATCCCAACCACGGCACCACCTGCCTGGAGTTTGCATGTTCTCCCTGTGCCTGCATGGGTTTCCTCTGGGTACTCCGGTTTTCCTCCGACACTCCAAAGACATGCTGGTAGGTTAATTGGCAGGTTAATTGGCTCCTGTCTAAATTGGCCCTAGTATGTGTATGTATGAATGTGAGTTAGGGACCTTAGATTATACACCCCTTGAGGGTTAGGGACTGATGTGAATGTACAATATATATGTAAAAGCGCTGCGCAAATTGATGGCGCTATATAAGTAACTGAAATAAATAAAATGTGTCTGTGTGTATGTATGTGTGTGTACATGTGTGTATGTACGTGTGTATGTGTGTATGTACGTACATGTGTCTGTGTGTCTGTATTTCTGTGTATGTACATGTATCTGTGTGTATGCGTGTCTGTACGTGCCTGTGTGTGTATACATGTGTCTGTATGTGTGTGTGTGTACATGTGTGTCTGTGTGTGAGTGTACATGTTTATGTGTGTATATGTGTATGTACATGTCTGTGTGTGTGTACAGGTGTCTGTGTGTGTGTTTGTTGGTGGCGAGTAACTCTTAAGGTCTGGATAGTAGTTCAGGACTTGAAATTTTAAGCCCTGCTCTAGCTGATATTTGCTCCATGAGCGTCCAGTGTCCACATAAGCAAGCACAATGCCATTCAAAATCTTAGCTAATTGCTAAACTGTGAAAATGTCATTGGAGGAGATTTACTAAGACTAGTTTACACAAAATCTGGTGCAGTTGAGTGGGCATAGTAACCAATCAGCTTCCAGGTTTATCAAAGCTTAATTGAACAAGCTAAAGTTAGAAGCTGAATGGTTACTATGCACACCTACACAAGGTTCTGTGTGCACCAGTTTTAGTAAATCTCCTCCAGTGCCATGCTAACTTGAATTTATCTCGATGTTATGAAAACAATTTACACAAACAGATTTATTTCTCTCGTGCATTGCATTTTTAATTAAAAGACTATATCCATTACAGTGCTGTGCAAATCCATTGATCAATGTATGGCTGGATTTAGAAAAGGGATGACTTGCTAAAAGACAAAGGGAAATATAAAAGGGAATGGTCAAATCAGGAATGTATCCTGATAGCCTGTATTCGATTTGCAGCAAAAAGAAAGCCATGTTGCAAAATTGGCTTTCACCTAGTATGTGCTCATGTTCAAGAAGTAAGGAAATATATAAAAATGGGGGCACTCAAGATGATACAATGTTACTGGCAAAAACGTCCAGCTTAAACTAGTGGATTGAAATACCAGGTACAGTGCCCTGAAAAAGTATTCATACCCCTTGAAATTTTCCACATTTTGTCATGTTACAACCAAAAACATAAATGTATTTTATTGGGATTTTATGTGACAGACCAACACAAAGTGGCACATAATTGTGCATTGGAAGGAAAATGAGAAATGGTTTTCAATTTTTTTTACAAATAAATAGCTGAGGTGAGCATTTGTATTCAGCCCCTTTTGATACCCCTAACTAAAATCTAGTGGAACCAATTGCCTTCATAGGTCACCTAATTAGTAAACAGAGTCCACCTGTGTGTAATTTATTCACAGTATAAATACAGCTGTTCCATGAAGAGGTTTGTTAGAGAACATTAATGAACAAATAGCATCATAAAGGCCAAGGAACACATCAGACAGGTTAGGGATAAAGTTGTGGAGACGTTTAAGGCAGGGTTAGGTTATAAAATAAATATCCCAAGCTTTTACTATCTCATGGAGCACTGTTCAATCCATCATCCAAAAATGGAAAGAGCATGGCACAACTGCAAACCTACCAAGACATGGCCATTCACCTAAACGGACAAGCCTGGCAAAGGAGAGCATTAATCAGAGAAGCAGCCAAGAGACCCATGGTTACTCTGGAGGAGCTGCAGAGATCCACAGCTCAGGTGGGAGAATCTGTCCACAGGACAACTATTAGTCATTTAGTCATGCGCTCCACAAATCTTGCCTTTATGGAAGAGTGGCTAGAAGAAAGCCATTGTTGAAAGAAAGCCATAAGAAGTCTTATTTGTAGTTTGCGAGAAGCTATGTGGGGGACACAGCAAATATGTGGAAGAAGGTGCTTTGGTCAGATGAGACCAAAATTTAACTTTTTGGCCTAAAAGCAAAACACTACATGTGCCGGAAAACTAACACTGCACATCACCCTGAACACATCATACCCAGCGTGAAAAAATGGTGGTGGCAACATCATGTTGTAGGGATGCTTTTCTTCAGCAGGGATAGTGAATCTGGTAAGAGTTGATAGGAAGATGGATGGAGCCAAACACAGGGCAATCTTAGAAGAAAACCTGTTAGTCTTCAAAAGACTTGAGACTGAGGCAGAGGTTTACCTTCCAGCAGGACGACGATAAACATATAGCCAGAGCTACAATGGAATGGTTGAGATCAAAGCATATTCATGTGTTAGAATGGCACAGTCAAAGTCCAGACCTCAATCCAATTGAGAATCTGTGACAAGACTTGAAAATTGCTGTTCACAGATGCTCTCTATCCAATCTGGTAGAGCTTGAGCTATTTTGCAAAGAAGAATGGGCAAACATTTTACTCTCTAAGCTGGTAGAGACATCCCCAAATAGACATGCAACTGTAATTGCAGCACAAGGTGGTTCTACAAAGTATTGACTCGGGACTGAATACAAACGCACACCACACTTTTCAGATATTTATTTTTAAAACATTTTGAAAACTATTTCTCATTTTCCTTCCACCTCACAACTATGTGCCACTTTGTGTTGGTCTATCACATAAAATCCCATTAAAATAAATTTTTGGTTGTAACATGACAAAATGTGAAAAATTTCAAGGGGTATGAATACTTTTTCAAGGCACTGTATGTCATTTATATTTCCACATGCATGTATGCCAAGTATAACAGGACCACAAGGAGACTTTGTGATAAGATTAAAGGCCATTTGTATGTTAGACTTTGTGATAGAATTAAGGAGAATTTGTATGCCATCAATAAAAACGTAGCAAAACACATTATAGAAACACCAGATGCCAAAGGACCTCATTTTAAATGGGATGTATCTCATTATCCCCCCCCCCCCCTTTACTTCTAAATCATCCATACTCTATGTTCACTACTTACTTTAAATGAGAGAGTGTGCGTTTAAAAAACAAAGACAAAATTTTAATACACTGCTCAAACAAATTAAAGGAACACTTTGAAAACACATCAGATCTGGGGAAAAATATCATGCTGGATATCTACACTGATATGGACTAGGTAATGTGTTAGGAATCATTTGATGGAAATGAATATTATCAACCTACAGAGGACTGAATTCAAAGACACCCTGAAGATCAAAGTGAAAAAAGTATGCAGCAGCCTAGTCCATTTTGCTGAAATTTCATTGCAGTAACTCAACATGGTACTCATTATTTTGGCCCCTATGTGCTTGTACACATGCCTGACAATGTCAGGGCATGCTCCTAATGAGACGACAGATGGTGTCCTGGGGTATTTCCTCCCAGATCTGGACCAGGGCATCCCTGAGCTCCTGGATAGTCTGAGGTGCAACCTGATGGCGTCGGATGGAGCGAAACATGATATCCCAGAGGTTTTCTATTGGATTTAGGTCAGGCAAGCATAGGGGCTATTCAATGGTATCAATTACTTCATGCTCCCGGAACTGCCTGAATACTCTTGCCACATGAGGCCGGGCATTGTTGTGCACCAGGAGGAACCCAGGACCCACTGCACCAGAGCAGGGTCTGACAAAGGGTCCAAGGATTTAACTTCCCTGGCGGTATTCCAGAGTGTAGCTCGGGTAAAATTTCAGTACCAAAAGCGGTAACCCCGAGCTACACTCGGGCTTACCATGCGGCGTTGCTCAGGGATTCCCTGCAGCGCTAACCTTGTCCTTCGCTCCCGCGATGCGTCCCCTGCAACGTCCCTGGCCATCTCCTCCGGCAGATGCCGGCATCCGGCTTCCGTGTTCCGGTCCCTGCGAGCGTCGGGACGTATGGGGGCCGGAACTGGCGACAAATTTTTTAATTTTAGAAACTGTCATTTTCTAATTAAACAAATATGACATAGTAAAACATTACTGATTCAAAGCATTTCACATACATTTTGTCCCTACTGCTTTGTCCTGTGCCCTGCCTGCATTTTGACTGTTCTTTCTGCCTGGAAACTTAGAAAAGTCCATGGCGTCCAAAAAGCATTGCTTTAGGTCAAAAGCGGTTTTAGACCGGCTAGAGAACAGCGATAGTAAATCAGAACCACTTGCAGAATTGAGTGATAGCGATTCGTGGGGAAATTTGTCATCAGACACTGAAAACGATTCTGCGACTTTGCTCAGCGATGTGCAAACTTGGCGCTATATTTCAAATTTCAGTGTTTTTGGTTTGATTATATTATTGAATTAAATGTATTATATTATTATTTTTTTATGATTATTTATTAAATTATAATTTATGATTTCGTTTTCAAGTTTTATCCTACCCGGAATGTTTACTAGACTCTTGTTCGGACAGATTTCAGTGAGTTATTCCTAAAAATTACAGGCCTACAATAAAAAAAAATACATATTTCCATGCAAAAAATGGACTGCTTTCAGCACAGAAATATGGACATAATCATACCGCTAGGGAGGTTAATCCCGATACCTAATGGCAGTCAAGGTGCCATTTTCTAGTCTGTAGAGGTCTGTGCGCCCCTCCATGGGTATGCTTCCCCAGGCCATCACTGACCCACCACTAAAAACGGTCATGCTGAACGATGTTACAGGCAGCATAATGTTCTCCATGGCTTCTCCAGACCCTTTCAAGTCTGTCACATGTGCTCAGGGTGAACCTGCTCTCATCTGTGAAAAGCACAGGGCACCAGTGAGCGACCTGCCAATTCTGGTGCTTAATGGAAATTGCCAATCGAGCTCTATGGTGCCAGGCAGTGAGCACAGGGCCCACAAGAGGATGTCGGGGCCGCAAGCCACCCTCATGAAGTCTGTTTCTGATTGATTGGTCAGAGACATTCACACCAGTGGCCTGCTGGAGGTCATATTTGTAGGGCTATGGCAGTGCTCATTCTGTTCCTCCTTGCACAAAGGAGAAGATACCGGTCCTGCTGATGGGTTAAGGACCTTCTACAGCCCTGTCCAGCTCTCCTAGAGTAACTGCTTGTCTCCTGGAATCTCCTCCATGCTCTTGAGACTGTGCTGGGAGACACAGCAAACTTTCTGGCAATGGCACGTATTCATGTGCCATCCTGGAGGAGTTGGACTGCCTGTGCAACCTCTGTAGGGTCCAGGTATCGCCTCATAGTTACTCTGGTTGAAAAAAGACAAAAGTCCATCCAGTTCAACCATTAAAAAAAAAAGTTATAATCCTATACCCACAGTTGATCCAGAGGAAGGCCTCATGCTACCAGTAGTGACACTGACCCTAGCCAAATGCAAAACTAGTGAAAAACAGTCATAAAAGATAAGTAGGGGAAAAAATGTCAACGGTCTCCACCTGTAAAACCATTCCTGTTTTGGGGGTCGTCTCATTGCTGTCCATCTAGTGCACCTGTTGTTCATTTCATTAACATTAAAGCAGCTGAAACTGATTAACAAGCCCCTCTATTAGGTAACTGACCAGATCAAAATCCCAGGAGTTTAATTAACTTGATGCTATACTTAAAAATTGTTCCGTTAATTTTTTTGAGCAGTGTATATTGCAGCCTATCAAGCCTTGCGAAGTGGTTCAGTGCAGTGTAGTGGCTGCATTTGTTTCTTTTTTTCTTGGGTTTAGATGCCCTGTAACCCTTCCCCTAATTCTCCTCCTCACTTTAAGTTTAAGGTGTTGAATTTTTATAGCTGACCTCCATGTTTTATTTAACTTTAAATAGTTCATTTGGTCCAAGATGGTCCAGACAAACTATTTACTTCAAAAACAGTTGGCTGTGAGTGGAGTATAATCTATATATACTACATAAAGCGCACAGCACTGTGTTCCTGCAGTAGGACTAGAACTTCCTGTCCAGCTCCTGGAACAAAATTAAGTCGGGCTGAACACTGTTCAGTCATTCAGGGGAAGCTTTAGATTCTATTAATAAATACAAAGCTTCCTCTGATTGGCTGAGGTGAAGAGGCAGACTGATGACGTCACAAACTCTGCCTCAGCAAATCACTAGATTTTGTTTCAGGAGCGGGAAGGGGAAATTCCCGTCACACTGCGGGAACACAGCTTGGTCTAAACTAACAGCTTAAAGTTAAAGGAAACATGGGGATCAGCTTTTAACAAAGTGTTACTGTTGAGGATATTGGAATACAAACAATACACATAATGGATGAAATAAAAAAACCTACTGGCTTAGATGGAGGCCCATTTCTTGTAGTGCCTGTTCCTGTTCATTACACAGCTTCTGCAATTGTTTTTTCTCAAGATGTATCTTATCAAAGTCCTGTAGCAAAAAAAAAAAAAAAAAAATCTAGCTGTTAAAGGTAGATGAACACACACAGCCACAGCAGGTTGAGAGATATTATTTTTCTGATTCCATCGGTATAACAATTTCTATTCTACAGAGTAATATGACTGCCTATGGAAAAGACATCACCCCTGTGTATTCCACACCTTGGTCTTGGAGTACCCATGAGGTCTGCAATTTAAAATTTTGCTCTGGAGGACAAGCTGGGATATGATCACCATGGCCCACTGTGATGAGAGTGGAGGTATCCTGGTGGAAATTAAGTATGAATTCACCTTTAAAGAAAAATAATAAATACACGTTTTTGCAGGGAAAAATGGTGCATTTTTTTTTTTCTACAATTCAGCTTGCAAAGCATTGCACCCGCGATCAGTGGACTGTGAGGTGCAACGTCAGGCTCCTGTAGAAGCTGCTGAGAGCTGTCTACCCATGTCCCCATATGGGCAGATAGTTACTTAGATGCAGGAACTGCGAGTGAACTACCGGGGCGCTGATCAGTGCTCTGTTAGTTCATTTATTCACAGATCTCTATGAATGAATGATACCCATGCGGCCCGCACTGTTTTTAAATTGTGACAGCTTGTGCAGGGAAGGTCCCCCATCCACAGTCACAGGGCAGATGCTGTACTGTAACATGTTACATGATACACCCTAAACAAGGGGGCAAAAAGTAACATGTTACAGAAGATGAACTTATCCTTTTACTGATTTACAAACAGACTTCAGTTAACCTATTACAATCCAACCAAGACAGAATTGTCGACATTTTCCCCTAAATTAGTACTAATCACAAAGTCCAGATGGGATCTTTGATGATCATATAACCGTTTTGTTACCCCTTGAGGCTTTGAAAGTTGGCGTTGGACAGTTGAATGCGCACTCTGTTGACAGATATCACTAGCTTTTACTGTGGTGGGCTCTATCGTGACAAAACATTAGAAAGCGTTATATACCCGCTCAGTCTCATGAGGGAGTGGCAATATAGGTCTACGAAACACATCAAGATATTCTCCACCTTTCCTGTTTGAAGTTCTGGACCTTCATGCAAATACTGTACACACTGATGGTGGGGGATGTATTTGTCAGCCTTAGAGAGTTTAAGGAAACCCTTTTAATGATACAAAATAAACATGGACAGAAATTACCAAACCACTTTACTTAATCTTGGCTGTAATCTAAACTAGGATCTGACACCAATTTAGAAACTCTTGATGGCAATTGTGATCCTGCTTTCATTTAACAGCAAAAGAATCTTAAAACAGTACATGGAACAACAACCCAGATATTGGAGGCAGAAAACTAATACTGCATAAACCTCCAGGGTGACATGGAACTGAATTAGGCAGGCAAACAAGTAACTGAGTACTTAGTCCTGCTGGTTTATTAAAATATGACACGAATAAACTGTTGTTGCAAGATATAATGCCAAGGTATGTCTGTTTGATCAATTACCTAAATAATGTGCAACTGCTGTGGATCATATGTCTCATCAGGTGATAGGTGTGGGGGGTTCTCTCGGCATAGCATCTAAGGAATGGAATAACCATTTGAGTCCCAGCACCTTTAACCTATAAGTCCATTTTTTTCTTCAGGTTTTGGGCATGTGATACATAGCAAAACAAAGCAGCAGCAATAAGACCACCAACCTAGTCAATCCTAATATTATTTTTGGGTACAGACAGTACTTTCCTTTTGATACCATACTTTATAGTACTCTTCCTATACATGGAAACACCACATAAGTACATCTTGGGTCACAAAGGGGAAACATGGCAGACCCCAGAAACAATATAGTGCATTCTGGCTGTCACTGGCTGAAAACTGGCACGACAGCTTTTGTCACTGAACTGCATTTGTAGTGGCTCAGGAGTGGCAGGACCCCAGAAACTACCCCAAAATGACTATTTAAAAAAGCAGACCCCTCAAGGCTTTTGGCAAAAGGTATAACATGGACTTTGAACCCTAATTTTTTAAAATGCACACGGCAGCAAAATAAACACAGTGATGACTTGGTAAAAATTGCATCCACCAATATCTTCAGCTACCTCTTCTGTGCACAAATATACTATATTAGTATGCCCTAGTCACTTGGTGGGAATGTGGCATGACCCAGAAACAAGGGAATGCATTACGACTATCAATAGCTGAAAGCACCATGTCTGTGTCCATGTTGGCACCGTACTTATTTAGTGTGGTTCAGAAGTGGTAGGGCCCCGTTTCAGTACCACGCACTATATATTTTGAGTTTTGTAGTCTACTTTATAGTATTGCATATCTCTTCAAAAGGGGGGCAAATAGGACTTTAATTTGGTAGCAAATTTGGATACATATATTTTTACTTCATCGCAGGCGCAGTGCTATGCACGTTCCTGTGGGAAAAGATATTAAAAGCACACTTTTTTCCTGCAAAAATACTGTATGTCTGTTTATTATTTTTTCCTTAAAGCTGAACTTAGCCTTTAAAGTGTAACTCCACTTTTGTTGAGAAAAAAAAACATTCCCCTCTGGGAGATCTACATTGCAGGGATTTTAAAAAACTTTGTTGCAGATTCCTACCTAGTGTTATTCTAAAGATATAGCTGTTTGTTTCTCTGTGT